CATATATACCATTCTGAAGCTTGGATTTTCGATCCAAGTAAATTTGCTGTCTGAAAGTTATTTAAACCGCAAAGAAATCTGTTGATGAAGCTATGATATTGGTTTTCTAGGTTTCCAATATTGGTTTCCAAGACAAAAAAAATTTTTTGATTAATTTATTAATTTTATGTTTATTTTTTTAATAAAAAAAGCAAACAATTGAATATTAAAAAACGTCGAAATTCAAATAACTAGTATAAATTTAAGATGTTGAGATACAAATGAAGGAAGGTCCTAGTTATGAAAAGAAAATTAATTCAAAGTTTCTAGACTTGAAGAAGTCTATTCGATAAAGAGATTCAATTACAAACTATAGAAAATTTGTTTTTTCGGAAATTTTGCAGATTGATCGTAAAAGTATGATTGCCCAGTCTCGTTCATTTGAAAGTGAAATTGGGGCGTATTTTTCTCAAGTTGATCGTTTTGGGAATCTTCCTTCGTGTTCAAACCTCGTTTTCGCAAGTAACTTCTTGCTCCTATGTTTTGCATAATCGTCGAATCTCTTTTAATAGCATTAAAAAGTCCCGATAAATTTTCCGAGAAACCCCAGAGCTTAACTCTAATTGTAGAGAAGATACTTTTCGAATCAGTTTTCTTTTTCACTTTATCATCAATCATTTTGATGACAGAATTAGACAAGGACGTGGGATCCCTGCAATACGATGTCAATATTTCTTTAGACAAAGAAATCCAGAATGCTTTCAATTGATTTTCTATAAATTTCCGTTGTTTCATGGGACCATTGCTGCTGCAATTTTGGAAACAATTTGCTTTCAAAGGTAATAATTTTTGCTTGAAACATTCTTGAATGTCACGTTCTCTAATTTCTTGAAACGATTTTTGAAACTGTATACCTAGAATGTCAGCAGAAGCCACAATTAACTCAACTTTTTGGCTGTCGCTCGATATGTTCCGTTTCCAAAAATTAAAAAAGCGGAAGATGGATTTGATATTTAATTTGAAAATCCCGTCGGAAAAAGCTGCTGTTTTAACTATTCCGTAGACTGAAGTTCTACCGTCCGGTATAAAATTGTTTTCTAACGTAAGTAGGGCAGCTTTCAAAGATAAATGCTCTTCTGCAACGAAATTTCCTATAATTGTTCTCAGAAATTCTTGAGTAGTTAATTTACCTCGAAGAAAGCGTTGGCAAATGTATCCATTGAAGCTGCAAAAAACATAAAGTTAAAAATAATTATTTGTTACCTCGATATTTACTATCTTGCACAAGTCTAGATTTTATTGAGGCATTTTTTATTGATGAAACAAGATCATTTATGTAGGCATAGCAGAATAAACAAAATTTTAATTAATCAAAAGCAACTTTTTCAAAAGTTTATACGAGTATATGTATGTCCATCAAAAAAAGTCCCCTATTTTATAAATCGTTCATCTTCAGCTAAAATCCCCAACAATACGGCAGTTACAAGAGAATCATTATTGTACAGATGCTTAAAACTAAAAGTGTTTATGTAATCAACGGCTGGGAAAAGTTGACTGTTCCATGAGCACCAATCATGGCTAGCAATTAATTTTTCTACTAACCGATTAAATCTATATATCTCGTTTTGGTTGATTTTCAAATCCACAAGTTGAGCTCGCTGGAAGGGCGGTTTTTTGGAATCAATTTTACAACTCATATAGCTCCTCATGTCCATCTCAAGAACAACCAAGCAAGATGATTGGTCTTTGAGCAGTGTTGGATTTTTCTAAATCTATCAAGACTAATGTGTGCAGCCCTCAATCTAATCAAAACTTTCCTAAGACACGAAAAACGAAAAATACTCCAAGATTGTTATTAAGTCATTGTATAGGTCAATTCACCGCACGGAGGCTTTTTTTAAAGGTAGCAAACAAAGTCATTGCACAGAAGAGACGCTGCGCTTTGCACATACTAGCGAGAAAGAGGCAAAAGACCAACAGATTTAAAATGCACAAAAACTCAAACGTTGCATTTAGTAATTTGGATTTAAATAAACAAGAGGCAACTTCGGTAACTTTGCAGGTAATAAATAAGAACGTAATAAACTAAACGTTGGAAAATTTCTGAAAACGAATTTTTTCTATTACACTATTACACGAAACAATTTTTTTTCGGTACATTTGATGTCTTAAAAAAGTATCAACTTGATACTAATTAGTTTTTAAATGTATTTATACGCCTAAAAAGCCCCGAAGTAGTATTTTGGCATTGGAAAAACACCACTAAAAGCGGCATCTTAATTTTCAACTTAGGTTGGAAAAAAAGTCTCATTGTACAATTACACTACGCTCTGCCCATATAATTACTATTGATTTTAAAAAATCCAGCACTGTTTGGTAAATTAGCAATCGGGGATTTATAATTCGGAATCGACTTCGATACACTAAAATTTTCTTCTTGTTGTTTCAATAGTCGGTCAAAACTATCATTAGCTATCTGAGAATTTGGAAATGAAGCAAATCCAGCGAAAAAAGACTTTAACGAATCATGAAGATTTTGCAAACCAAGCGGTACGTCCTTGTTCCTAAATTTGTTTCCTGTCCAACGTTGGAAGCGCGGGGTTTTTCTAATCGTTGAACTTTCATCCAAACTTTCAATTGGAAGCTTAAGGAAAAAACCGATTGGAACAAATTTATCTTCTTCGTTCTGTGACGAGTTTTCGGACGCAATGCTGTGATCTTGAGCTTGTGATGTTTTTTCAGAATAATACTGTTCTTGCAAACACTGGAGTATTTTCGCATAATTACGCAAATTTGAGGCAATTGAAATTTGAATTACGTTTGATGACATTTCGCTGGTAAACGTTTGACAATCGCATTTGTTTCTTTTGTTTATTATAGGAGTATTAAAAGTAATGTTTGAAATCTGATAATTGTGGTTCTTTGAATCAACTCGTAAAATATGGCTGATACGGAAATGGATCAAAGAGGCTAATGCCCCACCCATCAAATGTCCGCATGTTAAAATTTCATCAACTCTGTTGATTTCAGCAAGAAGCAGTATGGCCGTGATCTGACTTTCATAGCTCTCTGTTTTACAGCTGATTGTGTAAACTTCTTTTTCATCGACTGAATTCGATAAATCGAGGTTGACACTTCGAAACGCAATAATCAAAGTTTTTTTAGTGGTGTTTTGGACTTTTTTTTCTGCTATGACAACAATTAGTTGTTCATCAGTTTTGTTGATGGCAAATAAATATCTGCTGACACTGTGAAACTTTTTGTTAAACTGCAGGTATTCAGCGGGATTTTCGCAATAAATGGCCATTGAACAAAAGAGTGCATTCTGTATCATTGTTTTGTTCGGTAGAGTGTCTGCCGCTTCAATCCATAAATAATGTCTCCCTTTTTTCAAATTTTTGGAATTTTCTGTGAAAACAGGTATTCGGTCATTTTCATTGTCTGATATATCAAAGATCACATCTGGACTTTTGCTAATGTTGAAAGATCGAGCGATTTCTTGGATCAAATTTGAGCCGGAAACAAACGCCCTGACGTTTTGAATTTGGCCGTAGGATACGTAAATATCCTTCATTTCTTGTTACCAGTCGGCTGTAGGTGGCAAAAACTGAGTTTTTTGTGATGAATTTTGGATGTTTGCAGATTTTTCCTGCTGATAGTTATATCCTGATATGTTTTCACCTATGGAGTGAACACTGTGACAAAATATTACCCGCAATGTAATTTCATGGATAAGAGTGGACTATAATGAATTTCCATGGTTTGTTCCCATAAAATTCTAAAATAATCTATTATGATGGATGAATAAGATATTATAAAACAAAAAAGTAGAAATTAATTTCAAAAAATAAGGGAGTTGTAGGTGGGGTTTGTAGGTGGGGTGTAGGTGGGGTTGTAGATGGGGGGAGGTGGGAAGTGGGGTTGGTGGGGTGAGTGCATGTGGGGTAGCATAGTTGGGGTTGGGGTGGGTTTGCTGATAAATGTGGGGGAATGGTATAAATTTTGGGTGGTGAAATTGAAAAAAAACCTGAATATTAAGGGAGAGGGATATGTTTATGCAAATTTTAAGTAAATGTGAGCATTTTGAAAAAAAAAACTATAGAGATTATAATACATCCAAAGTGCATTTAAAATCGATTAAAATGGTAAACTTTTGACCACGAAAATAGAATATGAACGATTATTATCCATGGAACCTCACTGCAGGCAACTAAGTGATGACTTGATTTAACTATCTGACGGCATAATAGACTTACCAAAAGAAAATTTGTTTGACTTGCAGATTAAAATTTGTTCTTTGTTGTTTTTTAATGCCTGAATCTGTTTTTCATTCAAGTGACATTTTTAGGTGTTTTTTTGTCCTCTTTTTTTTTTAACTTTCGGCGCTTCGAAGTCACACGAAGTCTATTTTAAAAACCGAAACGAAACACAATTTTCATTCGTGAAGCTTCGAAGTCACAAGCTTCTTGTGCTAGAGTCGTTGAACGCTAGTTTTGTTTTAAATGACTACTTTTGGTCCTTCGCAGATCTCCAGCTATTGGACAAGAACTCTGATAGAAGTCATTTTATTTTTTGTTTGTCTGAAAACTCGGATACACTGCATTTTTATTTTACAAAAAGCCGAGAATAATTCGTTTCGATTAACTGAGTGTTATGTTCACGGCTCGTTTTTTCTTCGTTTACTTCACCTTCGTTCGTTTGGTTTTGTTTTTAATTGTTTTCTATTTATAGCTCGTTTTTTCTTTTTTCTTCGTGTACTTCACATTCGTTTGTTTGGATTCGTTTTATATGTTTTCTTTTTACGGCTCTTTTTTTTCATCGTTTACTTCACATTCGTTTGTTTGGATTCGTTTTATTTGTTTTCTATTTATGGCTCGTTTTTTTCTTTGTTTACTTCACTTTCGTCTGGCTTTAAGCATGTCACATGTGGACTTTTGTAAACTTTTAAAGCAGATTTTCCGACCGGAGAGGCATCTGATTGGAAAAAAATTTTTGACTTGTGAATTGTAACTTTAAATCTGGTTAAAACATGTCAGGACAGTTTAAGATTTGTTGAGTTTACAGGATATTTGTTGCAGATCCATTTTTGAACTGGACACACAACATTGAACTTGAACCAATCAAAGTTAAGCTCCTGTAGGTGAAATGATACAATAGTTCGTTAATTTTTTTCTTTTTGAACTTACCATAAAAGGATGGGGGTTTAAACAGAGTCCATTTAGTAGCTCGGCTTTCACGCAACCTTTTCTAACCCAAAAAAAACAAATCTTATAAAAGTCGTGACTTGTTAAGAGCTGTTTAATTTAAAATGAAATCAGTTATTCACGCAGGTTGGCTAAATATTCATATTCTACTCAAACGTTTCCGATAACAGGCAACGTATTTGCCCAAACGATACTACTGATGGTGAAGTTGAAGAACACTTCAGCGGAGCTGCACCTTCCAAAAATTCTATAAAAAGCAAAAAAGAACTCTTAAATGCCGATCATTCAAAACACGGCAAATTGTCTTGATTGAAAATCAGTTGGCACATTTTTCAAAAAACAAGTTAAGAATTCAACCTTTTTTTTAAATTACACAGGCTAAGTAAACTTATAAAATACATAAAATTTTGATCACACCACTTAGCGGACCTCAATTCAACTTGTAATGCTTTCTGAGCTGAAATAAGTCTCTGCCTAGAAATTTGAAAAAAGATAGAAAATTGGAAATTTTCCGCAAATTAATTAGGCAAAAATGACAACCCCCAAAATCCATAACACTCCAAAAAAAAAATCGCAGATTAAACAATGTCCTCTTTTTGAGCTGCTTGAGCCTTTTAAAAAAATCCATTAAACAGGCTAGTTAAGAAAACAACAATTGTCTGAAGGAAAACCGACGAACGGAAAAACTCCCAGCTTCTTTAAATGTCTAAGAAACTACGACTGGAAAACAGGATTTGAAATCGCCGCACTGGAGCAAAGCGCGCTCTTCACCATTATATATACGTGAAAAAGCGCAGAATTTAGAGTAGCAAATGAACAAAATGCAACTTTCAGAACTTCAAAACTTCAGCAACACTGGTCTCATGTAAAATATATATTTTTCCGTTTTGCTCTAATCGTCGATGCTCAAGCGTAAAGAACGGTGAAAAAATGTCCCACAAAATTGTTATTTCTAGGCTTGCAATTTAACGCTATTTTGGCACGCTCGCTTGTGCATATTTATGAGTGTCAAATTCTCGCTTATGTCAAAACCACCCGAATAATCTTTCTCTGCGTTTTTTAAAGTATTGTTTTTTAAAGTATCATTTCACACGCCTCTTTCAACCGGGCTCGTTCGAATGACGTCACGTAATATCCCATTGGAACTGACGGCAAAATGAAGTTTGCATTCGGGTGACCTCCTATGATTGTGACTTCGCTTTTCTCGGTGCCAAAACTAATTTCTACTATGGAGTTCACACAGAGCTGATGGTCAAATCTAGCCTGAAAATAAAAAAAATCAATTACGCTCTAAGCATGTCTAATTTTACCCTATCTCAAAAACAAGAGTTATTTTAATAGACTACTTTTACTAGAAACCACTAAATTTAATAATTTATCAAAAAAGCCGAGTTCCGCGTTGCGTTTCGAGATTTTTTGGAGAAAAAAATTTCGCAAAAACTAGGTTCATAAATTTCGAAATTTTCCCGATAATTTTAAATTGTTTTTAATACCTGTTTACCTTGACAACTCGCAGACTTTTTGCAGCACTATCGAAATCTGATATCTTGTAAATGTAGTAATCAGGTGAAAAGCCTTTGGGCTGACCAAATTTCATGTACGCTCTGGTTTGGTAGTAGCAGCATCCTAAAATATAGGAAAACTTGAATATTCCACAACAACCTAACCTGAAAACATTTTCTCTTTTCTCCTCGCGAAGGTTTTCTTGAGTTGAATTTTGAAGTGTCTTACAAGTAAAAATTACATGATCCATTTTTAAGAAAGCCAAACTGATAATATGCTCTTTTTTATATCTGATATTAAAAAACTAATGAATTATTAAATTGGAGATACTTTCTGTACAAATTTACCTATAAAATCTTACAAAACAACTTATGAAAAGCCAAGAAAAACGAATTTTCAGATCTGAAATAGCCAAGAAAAACAAAATTTCAGATCTGAAATTATATCTGAAACGAATTTTTTCAGATCTGAAATAACCAAGAAAAACAAAACTTCAGATCTTAATTGTGATCTGAAATAGCCCATCCTTAAAGTATCCAAGCGTTATTTAAACGTTTCACAACCTCTTTCAGATCTGAAATTTAGATCTGAAATAGATAATTTCAGATATGTTTTAGAAAATTTACTGGGTACTGGCTCCGATGAGTTTGCAGAAATAAGAGCGAACTTTGATAGGTCGAAACGAGTTAAAACCACTTGAAACAATTTCTGAACTTCAGATGAATAAACTTGGAAAAAGTAACCTACATTCAGAATTATTACATGAAGCAAAAACTTCCGACTTAACCTGATGGTTCGAAACTGAGGAAAGAGAACCAATTGATGCTTCTGTAAATCCACCGACTCAACATCTCTGTTCGTAAAGTATCTTTCCAGTGATGCTGGCGGTTGTGCTCACGAAGTGATGTGTAGTAGCTATTAGTGCAGAAGTAGAGGCTGAAACGAGAAAGGTTCTAACTTGAGTGCGAGTCAATTAAATCGAGTGTGAAAAAACTAGCCAAATAAAGGTATAAGCCAACTAAAAATACGCAGTGTAGGAATAGAAGCGAATCCGATTTTCAAACCACTTGCGATTTGAACACACCTAGGATGGAAACCTAGCCGACAGGAAATGAAGCAAAAGCAAGTTGAAAAATTGTTTGAAAATGTCAAAAAAGACTACCACCAATTTCATACGAGTTTCTCGTTTTGCAAATAGGACAACCAGCCAATTACCAGTGTTGAAACAAAACTTATGCAGCGGTATCTGAGTCGGCTATAATGTAGCTGACACAAGTTGGGTCGAAACACGTTATCATAAAAAAAACTATTTAAAGCTCAAAACTCAAAAGTGGAAAAAATAAAATATTTCAGTAATAAACAACGCAGAATGAGCATAACAAGCCGATGCAAAAACGCCCAAAAACCTTCCTAGAGGTTAAGCAACAAAAAAAGATTATCGAATAAAAAGAGTACTTGAATAACTATTTCGTTTGCGCAACCTATTTTTGACAAATTCTATAGCAACGATTTTGATGAACATCGCAACGCTATAGGCAAATTTGAAAAGTAGTAAATGAGAAGAACTCAGGCGCGGATCTATTTCTCGAAGGTTATGGGGCCGATTTTGAGCTCTCCCAAACCCCTATAAGGACCGCAATTTGAACAAATTTTCTGTGCCACATGCAAATTTGAAAAAAAGCGAAAAAAGCGCAATATTTTGACCAACAGACTGCCTTTTTTTCGGCGCGCGATCCCCCCTCAAATTTAGTGTAGATTGGCTCCAAAGACGCCCTAGAAAACTTTTAAGGTCGGTCAGCTATAAATGAATATCTCAAAATAGTACAAAGGGGAGAATTACTGGGAGATATATATATATAGATATAAATTGTTTTTTTTCACACCCTCAAACCACTTTATGTCGAAGTTGAAAACTTTTAAGGTCAGTCAGCTATAAATGGATATCTCAAAATAGTAAAAAAGGGGAGATATACTGGGAGATATATATAGATATAAATTGTTTTTTTTTTCAAACCCTCAAACCACTTTATGTCAAAGTGGAAAACGTATCAAGTGTATTATCAAAATGTCTGCAAAAAATGAAGTTAATTTTAGACAACAAATTACTTTCGCAATTTCACAATGGATGTCACCATAATTTTGTCTAAAAGTTCACAAAGAAATCAGCAAAGGGCATCTAAAAGTCTCTAGTTTCATCAACAAGACTGTCCAATTATCTTGCCAGACATTCTATGATATCTAACAACACTCCCAACACTTAAACAAAATTGACAAATTAAAGTGAAAAATGTCTGTCAAAATTTAAAGCCTGACTGGCTCACTTTTTGTCCGATGTTCGTAACGAAAGTAACGGAATATTTGCTCTCGGGGTGGGTTTCTTTTCTTCAGACAAACTTCGACTTTTTAACTAACCGTTTTGACAGAATTTTTTTTGTCATTCAAAAACTTTTGTTGTCTTGAGCTTAAATTGGAATTAGATATTTCACCTGTGATCATTTTTCGTGAAGTTTAAAGGTTGCCAATTTGGCCAATTTGGGAAATTTAACGCTCGACATATTTTGCGCTATTAACACTTAAGTGGATATTTAATCCGTCTTAGAAATTGTTCCAAATTGCTTGAAGGAAGTTTTTTTAGCTCATTCAATTTGTAACTAGGAGCGAAATCTATCATTTTGTACTTTGTATAGCGTGTGGGGGGATTTTTTTATACAAACATTTCAAAAGTAAAAAAAAATCGTTTTTTTTTAAATTCCCACTAAATTTTTAAAATTGTTATTGCTCTTTAAGAGGTAGTCGGTATTTTCAGGGCTTCGCCCCTATACGAGCAGTCTTGTTTTTGTTAAGCAAAATTTATCATTTGTGTGTAATGTTCCGTGTTATCCGTGTTTGTGTGTTGTCATTTGTTTTAACTTGTGTGTGTTATGTTTCAATTTGTGTTCACATTCATGAGTTAAACATACTCTAACTTCTCGTCTCATCGAATTTTCTTCTTCAACAATTTTTTTTGTGCATAATTGCACCGAAAAAATTTATTGTTTTTGCATTATATCTAGATGTGTTTCTAAAAGGAAGCCAGAGATATACCTTTCATTTTGATATGTTGGTTCCCGTACCCAGCGAAGGCTGTTTTTCTGGATAGAATTGTTTTACAGATTACCTAGTGAGTTAGGACCGAGTTGGTTAACTCATAGAGTAATTTCGGATAGGGTACACCGTCTGCTCGTCACGCTATCTTATTTTCGGCCGGATAGATTCGTGCAACTTCTTAGTCTAATACCGATCCTAATCTTACTCTTATACTATCTAGTCTCAGGTTGTTTAACTAGTCTCTGCTAGGCTCAATAGATCTAGGGTATACTGGTTTATTGCGGCTGCTGAAGTGCTCGGGAGAGTCCAACTAATTTCTAAGTTAAATTCAAATCTCTCTGGTGCTGAAATTACAAGTAACTTCAGCACTTACAAATAAGTGGGTTGTTAGTTAGATGGATCATGATTGGTTAATATTAAATACTTTACATTGGTAAAATATCTAAATTATCCAATCATAAAATGTAGTTTAGATCAGGTTCCACCCATCCGGGTTTTACAGAGTTTTTTAGAATAGTTCTTCTGCAATTCGAAGGATGGATGATGGACGTTGGTGTTTGGCGAACATCATATTTCTTCTGTTTCCTTTTTGTTAAAGAAGTTCCAGGAAGCTGGAGTTAGAGACATAAGACGTTGTGTCTTCTAGTGACAACGACTAAGTCTTTGCAACAAACTCAAATCTGATTTCAGAATGGTTTGCTATGTCAGGTTTTTTTGTTCTGCGTGGAGAACTTCTTTTGTGTCTGATCTTAGTTTGGGAATGGCGTGGAGATTGTGCGTGGAGGGGATGCCTGGTTACTCGGATCTGTACGTATACTTGAACATCGAGGTGGTCATTGGTCTAGTTCAATGAAGTCCTTTTCTGCGAAGTCAAGTCGTACTCTAAATCCTTTGAGTTGTGATTGTGAGTGGCATATCGATTGTGGTTGGCCATTCTCTCTCGAGCGTAGTGGGGTCGTTTTGTCTTTAGATGTTCGTCCTTGGTGTTGTATTCTGATCTATGTATTGCATAATGTAATTTACATTTTATAAAACATTTATTAGTTTAATGTTTTTTAATTATGATTTTAGTTAGTTGTTTTCACAAAAGCTTTTTGTTTTAGTTCGGTTATTTTGAAGAGTTACTCACACTTGAGTAGCTCTTATTAAAAATAGAGGTGTGGTCACAAAGCGTGGATGTAGCGCGATGGGTTAGGCCGGCTATAGAGCATGCTCAGGACGTCCTTCCTGGTGGGTTAGGCCAGGAATGGGAGTATGATTTCATGCGGTTTTTGTGAGGGGTCCTGTTATGTGACAACGTTTTATGTTGGGTTTGTTGTGGTTTTTCTTATGTCTTGTTGGTTATGTCCTTTTTCCAAAAAGTAAATTGTTCGTGGTATGGGTTTGTCTTTCGACTTTTTTGTGTTTTATTATTTCTTTCTTAGACTTTATAATAGTCTTCAAAAGAATAAATTATCCAGTTTTAAACTGGGTTATTCCGGTTTGGGTACCGTTGGTTTCCTTTTCTTAGTCATGCTGTTATTCTATGATTTGTGGTATTTAGTAAGCTGCGTTGGTTAGTTTTGTTTAGTATATGATTCCTTTCCAACCGGGTTAAAGGAAAGTTTGAAACATGTTATTATATGTTAGAGTTGTTGAGTGTGAAAACTTGAAACTGAAAATCATTATTTTTAAACAATTCTTCGTGGGCGAGCTGTGCGAGTGTGGATAGAATTTCTGTGCGAATGAATGAAAATATCAAAAGGTTAGTACTGCAATTGCATTTTATTAATTTACTGCATAGAATTTGGAAATTTACTGCTAGTTATGGGGGAATTTTAAGTTACAAATTTTCATTATAATTAGATTTACTGCTTGTGGGGAAAATTTTAGAAATGAATTTACTGCATTGGTATTAAATTTATAAATTTATAAGTGTAAGAGATTAATAGAATTGTTGAAGTCTGTTTGATGAAATTTGCGATCTTTATTTGTTTTTTGTGGTTTTTGTAGGTGATCGTCGGATGAAGGCTAAAAATCTAAGGAAAACATGGATAAAGTATGGTGAGTTTTTTAATATTTCAATTAGTTAGTTATATTCATTTAATTCATACTTACCTGTTAGTCGTCGGGGAAAAAACCGTGGGGGAAGATGTCGTGAATTAGTTCTGAAGTTGTTAGTAGTTTAGCTAAGATGCGGATGATATTTTTAGTCTGAAGCAGTGGCCAAAGCAATTGGAGTGCCTTGATAGTGGTTAGTTCTTCAGTGCCAACTGCAAACTCATAAGGTGTGTTTTGGATTAGATTATATAATTTGTGATTGAATTTAGTGTTGTGGATGAATTCTAAAATTGGGATTTCTATAGGTTGTACAAACTCGTGCGGGATAAGGAAGGGTCGGGATTCTTCGGCGTTGAAGGTCTTGGTGATGGGACAGAAGATGTACATTTGGGTTATGGGATCATAATTACGAAGAATACCATGGAGGTTAGTGTCTTTAATACAATATGTGAAATTTAGGAAAAATGGTGAAGTGTATTTGGAATTAATGAATTGAAAACGATGGTGTGGTTGTCTAGAGGGTGTGTGTAGGTCAAAGTGATTTTGGATGAAGCGATAATAACTATATGTGTGGGTTTGTTTAGTGCGCAACATAATATCGTGTGAGCAGTGTAAATCTCTTTCGTGTGGTGCAAGGAAATGAAAGGTTAGTGAAAATATTTGGAAGCGTTCTTTAAAACTTTCGTATGCTTGTGTGTCTGTTAGTGCTTCTGAAATAATGTGATCAAACTTTCGATCGAAGATGTTTAGTGTAAATATATATGGTGTCTTGATGAAAAATTTCTCGGTAATTTGTGGATTAGCGAAGCGA